ATTTAACTTTAGTATTTATTTTTAACCAATCCTTGTTGATTTAATTTCAACTAAATCACACATGAGTATCACAAATCTTGTTGTTTTATTCTACAATATTATTAAAGAGCCTCCTTATTTCTATCCAGTTAACCTTGCCTAATAAAATCCTACTGTCAGCCAAACCTGGTGGCACAGGCCTGTAGTCCTAGCTACTTGGGAGACTAAGGGAGGAGTATTGCTTGAGCCCAGGAGTTCAAGGCTGCAGTGAGCTACGACTGGGCCACTGCACTTCAGCCAGGGTGACAGGGCAAGACCCTGTCGCAAGGAAAAAATAAAAAAAATCCTACTGCCTACTTGCCTTTTTCCTTACTGTCTTCCAGGCAACTCAGAATGTGCCCAAATGTTACTGTGACCTTGAGCAAATCAATTTTCTCATCAGTAATTAACATCCAATGATCTATAATTAGTATAGAAGTAATAATCTTCATAATGGTTATAAAACATTAGCTTCTTTTGATTTCTACCACCATTCCATTAAAAACTAGTATTTATTACAAGTATAATGCTTCTCATTCATCTTCACTCCCTTTACTTCATACATGTTTTTATTAGCTCCATTACTTCATATCCTTCTAGAATATTCAAATTCCTTTCATACTTCTAATTTATTCTCTAAACACTTTTCTTCTAAAAAGCCTATTTCCAGGTCTTCAAACCCTTACAAGGCAATCCAATATCAAAGCTGCCATACTGATCACAATCCTTTTCCTTAATATTTCATCTACACTTTGATCTCGCCAAATGGTTACTTATTTCCTGATGTTGAGGAAAAAAAACCAAACAAATGCTTACATTTGTTCAAATTTACATGCTGTATATTTACAATCATAGCAATTTTTAAAGTATTGACAAATGGTATCCCCAGATTAAGAGGGTATAGGTAGAATTCTTAACAATATTAACAAAGTTTACCTTACAATTTAAAATTTTAAGACAAAAGTTATATATTTTTTTCATACCTTTAACCATAAGATCAAATGCTTCTTGGGTAACTCCTCCAAGATTTTTATTTTCACTGTATTCTGGGTCAATAACAACTTTAGGGCTGGAAGTCTTAGATGTTGTCTGGTCATTCCAATGTTTCCTTTTGGATAAGCCTTTGGTTAACTATAATGGAAACATTAATCAATCATATTACTTTGATTTAAGGAAGAAGAAAGCTGGGTGGTTTTGTCATTTATGTATTTAAAAAAGAGAACTAATGAACAAGTCAATCCCATTTACAATAAGGTATAAAATACCTATTAACACATTTAACCAAGGTGAACGATATCTACAAGGAAAACTATAAAACACTGATGAAAGAAATTGTATATGACACAAATGGAAAAACACCCCATGTTCATGGATTAGAATAATCAATATCATTAAAATAACCTTAACTGTCCAAAGCAATCTACAGAGTCAATGCAATTCCTATCAAAATACCAATGTCATTTGTAAAAGTATTAGAAAAAACAATCCTAAAATTCCTATGGAACCAAAAAAGAGCCTGAATAGCCAAAGCAATCATAGGCAAAAAGAACAAAGCTGGAGGCATCACATTACTTGACTTCAAATTATACCACAAGGCTACAGTAACCAAAATAGGATAATACTAGTATAAAAACAGACAGATACATCAATGAAACAGAAAAGAGAACCCAGAAATAAAGCCACATTCCTACACCCAACTGATCTTTGACAAAATCAACAAAAACATACCCTTGGGAAAGGACATCCTGTTCAATAAATGATGCTAGGAAAACAGGGTAGCCATATGCAAAAGAATGAAACTGGACCCACATCTCTCACCATATACAAAAATTAAGATGGACTAAGGACTTAAATGTAAGACCTGAAACTATAAAAATTCTAGAAGAAAATTTAGGAAACACTCTTCTGGACACTGTCCTAGGCAAAGAAATCATGATTAAGACCTCAAAACCAAATGCAACAAGAACAAAAACAGACAAAAGGGACTTAAACTAAAAATCTTCTGCACAGCAAAAGAAATAATCAACAGAACCAACAGACAAACTACAGAAAGGGAGAAAATATTTGCAAACTATGCATGCAACAAAGTTCTAATATCCAGAATCTACAAGGAGCTCAACTCAACAAAACAAATAACTCCATTAAAAAGTGAGCAAAGGACATGAACACTTTTCAAAAGACATACAAATGGCCAACAAGCATATGAAAAAATGCTCAACATCACTAATGAGAGAAATGCAAACTAAAACCACAATGAGATATCATCCACCACCAGTCAGAATGGCCATTATTCAAAAGTCAAGAGGCCAGGAGAGGTGGCTCATGCCTGTAATACTAGCACTCTGGGAGGCCGAGGCAGGTGGATTGCTTGAGCTCAGGAGTTCGAGACCAGCCTGAGCAAGAGCGAGACCCCGTCTCAAAAAATAACAGATGTTGGTGAGGATGCAGAGAAAAGAAAATGCTTATACAACCTCTATGGAAAACAATATGGTGATTTCTTAAAGAACTGAAAATAGAATTACCGTTCAATCCAACAATCCCACTGCTGGGTATCTACCCAAAGGAAAAGAAATCATTATATCGAAAAGACACCTGCACTCATTTGTTTATCACAGTACCATTCACAATAGCAAAGATGTGGAATCAACCTAAGTGTCCATCGATGGATGACTTGATACAGAAAATGTAGTGTGTGTGTGTGTGTGTGTGTGTGTGTGTGCGCGCGCGCATGCACACAGGATTACTACTCAGCTATAAAAAAAGAATGAAATCGTATCTTTTACAGCAACACAGAAGGAACTGGAGGCCCTTATCTTAAGTGAAATAACTTAGAAACAAAAAGTCAAATATTGCACATTGTCACATATAAGTGCGAGCCAAACAATGTGTACACATGGTCATAGAAAGGAATAATAGACATTGGAGATTTGAAAGGATAAGAAGGTGGGAAAGTACGGTGGGATGAAAAATTACTTAATGGGTACCTTGTACACTATTTGGGTGATGGTTACACTAAAAGCATAGGCTTCGCCACTGTGCATTATATCCATCTAACAAAATTGCACTTACATACCCTAAATCTATTTAAAAAAAAAAAAAAAGGAAAAGAAAAAAGAAATAAAGTACACTTACCAAAAAAAGAGAGAGAACTCACTCACATAATCTATCTTTTTGACATCTGTGGATCTTTTAAAAAGTTATACAATTTGTCTACTAAAATGTATAGTAACATTTTAGAAATTTCATTTGCAACCACTATTTTGGATTAGACTTGGGTCTAAAGCTTAGCTGAAATTATTTTTATTGTATTTAAATACAGTACCATGGAAAGGTAATATTTTCAATCTGTAAAAGTATAGACATGCTCATTCATGATTTCATCATTTACACACAGAGATAAATGAAAACTCTCAAAACATCAAATATGACTGGAATTATTACATCATTCCAGTTCTACTACAGGTATTCACAGCAATTTTGACTTTCCTAACTTGAATAATTAAAACAAAAATCACTTCTTTGGGGAATATATAATTGTTATTCTTAAATTATTTCCAAATTTCAACAGTTTGTTATCTTTTGGCCAAGAAAATCTTAGAAATATTTTTAATGTAGATGTAATAACACCTGTATACCCCATTTTAGCCCTATAATACATACCTCATTTTCTCTTCCAACAAGAGATCCAGCTGCAGAAGGCTGAATCATCTTCAGAGTTCTTCTTGGGACAGGACTGTTCTAAAAATCAAGATAATTCATTATCTGGTTACTGAGTTACTATATAATTATTTAGTTAGTGAGTTTTTATATAGTTAGTCCTACTCTAATTTGAAAAAGAAAAAGAGACACTAAGAATACTAATATTTAGTCCGCTATATAATTTTATAATATTACATATGAGCAAGACACTGGCTTAGTCAATTGGCAAACTTGTTATTTCCCAAAATTAAACTAAAGTTTGGAGAAATTCCTTTAGAATGTATCATACGGCCCAAACTAGACACAAACGAGTAATGTTTTCTCTCAATATATGCTTTTGCTATAATCATTTTGTCAATAAATCACATCTAGTTAAAACAAATATAAGCAAATTTCTCTGCTCAAATTAATAGTTCAAACCAGATATGATAAAATTCCTTCATGACAGGAATATCTGTATTCTCTCTGTAAAAAGATCTTCTACACAGAAACTAGACTTAGAGGCCCTCTACTTTCATAAATCCAAACATCATAACATTTATGGTATGAATTCACAAAAAAAGGTAAATTGGAGAAAAAGTTTCATCATTTACACTGCAAAATACTTCTCCTAATCAAAAGGATTTATCTCAGACCTCCTTAAATCAGGAATATCCCCATATAATTTCATACGTTTTCACCAAAGGAATGTAATTTTCAGGGACATACTTTGCACAAAACCAGTACATGTGTAACAGACATCCCACCTCAACAACTACCTAATTGTAGAAGCAGTTCTGCTTCAAGCCCATTCATGAGAAGACAGTTAAAATGTCAGTGCTTGAGGCATACTAAAATACTCTAAAATGCCCAAGCTATTGTTCTGGGGAAAAAATATTGCCTTCCTTATAATATGTAAATACCTTCCTGTATATTTCCTGATCTGAAAGCTCTCTCTATTTTTGTAAAAAATCATTAGTTATACTGCCACCATGGGATAGCAAACAATGGTGAATTACTCAAACAAGGTTAGCCAGAACATGATACTATAGCAGCGTGAGAAAGTTACTGACTCCACACTATACTTCACATGAGAAGAGTTCACCTTTCCCACGGTAAAATTTCTATTGCTGATTATTATCTCACTATTTAACTGAAGGACAAATGCCAGCTACTGTGAGAACAATTACAGCAACATTTCAGAAATAATTTAGATTATAGATTAGTTAATAGTCTCCAGACAAACAGAAGAAAATAGAACTTTGCAACCGTAATAATAGGAGGTGTTAATTCATTTAAATGCTTGCTGTTAATAATGGTAAAAGAAGTCAGCTAAGTTACAAAGTTACTGCCACAGAAAAAAAATAACCATTTCCAAGATTTAACTTTTATACATGTAAGCTTTATACATTCTGGCCTTAAAAAAATCTAATATTATCATTATTATTATTTTCTGTATACAGATTATGCATTGGAATAGACTTTTCGAGCCAGGAAGTTTCTTATATATTAAATGGGTCTTAACCTTTTCAGAAAACAATTTAATATTCTGTGAATCTCTTCCCCCAAAAATGTACACAAAAGTACACTCACACAGAATTTTGCACACAACTGGAAAAGATCTAATGTAGTCCAATTCCCTCATTTCACAGATGAGTAAACTGACACTGAAATGCTAACTAACCCATTCAAGGTCTCAGTTTTGGAGATAGAACCAAAACCAAACAGAAATCAGTTCCCTTCATACTGAATATAGTTTTGTTTTGTTGTTTTTGAGACAGTCTCCCTCTGTTGCCAGGACTAGAGGGCAGTGGCACAATCATAGCTCACTGCAGCCTCAAACTCCTGGGCTCAAGTGATCCTCCTGCTTCAGCCTCCCCAATTTCCCAAGTAGCTGAGACTACAGGCACATGCCACCATGTGAAGCTAATTTTTTTCTTTTAGTTTTTTAAAGATCGGGTCTTGTTATGTTGCCTAGACTGGTCTTGAACTCCTGGTCTCAAGAGATCCTCCTACCTGAGCCTCCCAAAGTGCTGGGATTACAGGCGTGAACCACCGTGCCTGGCCTGAAGATTGTTTTAGTGTAGCTAGTTAGACTAGACTTTTTTTTAAAATGTAAAGATCTGCTGGAATTATATAAATTATTTGGCTGTGATTTCCTTCAAAATAATCCATTGAAGGAAGAGGGAGCAGATGAGGATACAGAAGAAACCAGATTGGCCATATACTGATAACTACTGAAGCTGGGAAAACAAAATTATCCTACTACTGATTCTAGTTTTAAGTATCTGAAAATTTTCATAACAAAAAGTTTAAATACATACAAAGCCCAGTGGGATGATATACATCATTATGCTAAATGGAAGCTGATGGAATCAAATTCACAAATTATCAACATGAAGTATAATTCAAGAAAAATAATGTAAAGATCCTGAAAAAAGCAGGACAAACAAAAACAACCTATCAAAAGGTACTTCCTTACACTTATCAATGGCTTTTATTTCCTCTGCTTAATTCAAATCTTCAAATTGATAGCTTTCCTGAAGATGTAGACCAATTAATTCCCAGGACACTCATACAGTTTAAGTTGTGCGATAGGACCTAGCTAAACTGTAAATTCACTTAGAACCATAAAGGTAAACCCAGTCAAAATTACAAACTCAAAACTAAACAAACTCTATCCTAAGAAGAAATGCTTGGAAAAATATTTTCAGTAAAGAGTATCATACAGGGATTCAAAAAGTGTTGCAAATTGAACAAGTTAAATGGTAACGAATATGATGTACTCTAAAAAAACCAATGTTCAATATAATGCAAAATGTCTCTGTGGTTAAGGACACTAATTCTGAAGATATACACAAAGTATTTTACAAAAATCATTTCATGAAATGTTAAGAGTAGAAACAAAGCAGTAGTAATTTTGTATATGAGAAAACATTAAAGAATCTACTAAAACACTATGAGAACTGATAAGTTCAGCAAGGTTGCAGGACACAAGATCAAGCTATAAAAATCAACTGCATTTCTTCTTTTTTTTCTTGAGACAGAGTCTTGCTCTGTTGTCTGGGCTAGAGCGCCGTGGCATCAGGCTAGCTCACAGCAACCTCAAACTCCTGGGCTCAAGCAATCCTTCTGCCTCAGCCTCCCGAGTAGCTGGGACTACAGG